GTTCGCGCGAACCCAGCTCCTGGGTTCCGAGACGAACCCAGGGGAGGGGTTTGCGACGCACCCCGCGCCTGGTTCGTCTCGAACCAAGCTCCTGGGTTCGTCTCAGAACCCAAGCGCGGGGTTCGCCGCGAACCCAGCTCCTGGGTTCGTCTCCGAACGGAAGATGAGGGATTTTCGGTTTAGGTGAAGGAAGATGAGGAAGAATACGGTAAGTATTTTCGGTTTGTTTCTTTGATTGGATGAGGAATAAGATAGTTAAGAAGATAGTTCAGTATTTTTGGTTTGTTTTTCTGATTGGATGAGTATTTTCCATTTGTTTCTCTGATTAGATGCGGAAGAAGAAACAAATGTGCCTGGGCTGCTTGGTAATGGTGGGTGATGTTATAAATTCGACCCTTATATACTAGTTTTTTCGCAAATAGAAGGAAGTGTGAGGATAAAATGATAATACCATGTCAATTTCATTAAACATAAACGAGAAGCTCCCGCGGAACACAAAATTGGTGCTTCCGGGATTTGCAAAGGAACGGGGGAAGATGTGCTTATGGGAAGCTGCAGCACGTTTGAGAAGTTACCCCGTTTGGTGCCGTCTGTGCTTTTAGAGCCAAAAAGCTCTTTTCACAATCTGCATCAAACTGCCTCTAAGAGTATTTCTATGTCCTCAAATTAATGGCATTCATTTGGTGGTCTCATTTAACTATTCCTTCTCAGTTCAAGTTAAGCATTCATACATCTTGTTAATTGGCCAATTCAACACGAAAACAATCTACAAATGAAATACTGATTAAAAATGAAGCAAAATAGATCAGGCTCTGACTTCTCATAATGAAAACTTAATGATTGGATTTCAACATAACCCCAAGTACAAAATTAGTCCATAATCAAAGATAAAAAACAAACAATTGTACTGAAATTCATTAAAACTAAAACAGAAAAATAGAAACTAACACAGGTTTTCTATGGGTAAAAGGAAAGAAATTACTAATCTGAATTTGGAAGAAGTCTGCCCATTGAATGTTGCTTATGAGAAAAATAAAAAAAATGTAGATTTTCCCTCTGCTTTCTGCTGACTGTTCTGCTTTCCCCCTTTTGCATCCAGAAGACAGTTTTTCTTTTTACAGTTTCTTCCCCCTTTTGCTCCACTTCCTTCTTTCTATTTTCACGTT